TTGTTGTAGTGTTTACGCTCGACCAGTGGATTAGATTTCATCAAAGGGAGTAACAAATGGTTATCACCGACTGGGGTGGCACACGTTCTCTCCCAGGCACTGTCGGGGAGTGGCTGGTTAACCACCAGTTGCGCGCAGGCCCCAACGGAGAGGACACATCTCGAGGATCGGTACGTCTTAACTATTACGGAACCCACCTTTGTGGAGACTACGAGCTTGGATATCACCTTTTGGCAATACCTCCGATTACGGAACCTAGGGATCGGGATCAAGACCAAGACTTCATATTTTATGTAAATAGTCGGCACACAATAAATGTACATATTTGTATTTAATGAATCATGGTTTTCATTTAAGTAAGTTACCGGAATCGCTTACAAATCTGGGCTCGTAACACATTTTTCGAACATCAAGACCAGTAAGGCCTTGATAAAACTTTAGTGACGGCCTGTCAAATCGAGCCTTTGGCTCATTGCACTAGTCTCATATATTAACACATGTATATTTGAGACTGGGTCAATAGCCAGTTTACAAGACAGGTATAGTTTAGTTAATTAGTCGTCACGCACATATGGTGGCAGCGGTACTACTTCTCACATTACAGAGTTAAAGACTTTTATTGATCAACCACTAATGACCATGGACGGACAACTGACGTATAACGCAACCTAGACTTCCATCAATACCTGAGGTCAAGGGCAGGGCCGTGACCGATAGGGAGGTTACGTCACAATATTTAGCCTGATGTATTCGCATTCACGACATGATGACACTTATCTGTATACCTTATGTATATACTTAAATAATCGGAAAAGAAAAAAAACAAACGCACAAATAGTTTGTATAATTGTATATATAAAAAAACATACGTGATATATGTGGTTTTCAAAAAAGAGCAAACGATACATATGTTAAACTGACATTACATATAAATCAATACATGGCACTTCATATCACAGGGACATGATACTTAAGATAGGATTGTACAAGTCATTTCTTGTGTGGAGTACTATCAGACGGTTCGTGGGTATTGATCTATACTCAGAAAAGTTCTAGTTCTGTCTTCAGATAAGCAAAATATTGTGTCCCAATTTGCAGGTGCCTGAGCTTTGTATCCGATCGAAAAACGTCTCTGTAATTGATTGTTATCAGTCACTTACATTCAAATAATTTATTATGTAAAAAATTCAGGCGAATGCGTTTTAATTAAAAAATATATCACAACTGAGACATTTTACAGATTTGCTCACATTTTGACCATGCCTCAGTGTTTTTGTAAGAGACGCTCTTTTTTACAACTCGTATATGACTTTGATTTCAAAGAGGTTTCTAACAAGTTTTCGTTGGTTATCATAATTTTCTTAATCGAGTGCATTTTCTCATTTTTCGGAATTGCATTAAGGTACGCCGTTACTCAGCATTTGTTTCACAATTTAAAAACGACAAATTAACAATATAATCAACAATCACGAACCGTCTCCCAGAACATATAATTTCCTATAGTTAAAAAACAAAACGGTATGCATGATTCCAATTCCGACAAAACCTGTCATTACAATAAAACTTTAGTTTAAACACGACGTCGCAAATCATTATAACGTCATTTTGTAAACAATGAACATGTTTTAACCTTAACTAGTACAAAAAGGAAAAGCAAAATCCATTACTCAAACTGATGATTGTTACAGGGATTGTGAATGGTGAAATGCAAATTGTGTATGGTAGAAATATGCATACGTAAATGTTCATGGTATTAATAGTACCGGGGGATAATAATGCATCACTTGCAAACTAAATCAATTGAATTCAAATTATGTTGGTTTGATTAATATAGCCTACATATTTATTTTTATTTGTAAATCAATATGTCGTATTCAATCTCAAAAGAATATTAACAAGTACAATTAAATATATACTTGTAACTATTATCATTGATAGGCTAGGGATGTGTTATCTATTACAATCTTATATAACCCAGAATTAAGGTTTTAATCTATCAAAAGCACATTTGAACCGAACACCGATGTATTTAATCAATCCTTCAAAAAAAAAAATTTGATTTGAAACAATGTGCCTCAGATAAATGCTCAATTTGTTTTGAACACAAACAGAATTCCCTTTGACAGCCCGCAGTTTTACGAGTGATATTTGTACGAAATGTCTCGGTTTTTTTTTACATTTGACTTTACTGACTCAGCACACTGTGGCTTCGTGTCTTGTTTGTCAAGTGTTTAGATTGAGACACCGGCAATTGGCACTCTTAGCTAACCAAAGAAAACAGGCGTTTTCAAGCTCACAAAATAAGTTTTCAAGTACCGTTTGCGTGCAAAGCAAATTAGTATTCATTAGACGAAACTGATTAAACTCATTCCACATATGTGCCTCAGGTGTTAAATAATGAAGCTCCATTTCCCATGCGCTTTGTAACACGTGGCAGATTTGCCTAAAGGCAAAACTGTCTTTTATTTCCCTTAAAATGAAATGAAAAGTGAAAGAGAGTAAACTGTTACAGATGTACATTCTATTATTTATAAATCAAAATAACATTGCATGTTATAAAATATAAGGATTTCGAGATCAAAGTCAATAGTATTTGTTTTGCAATATATTACATGAAGCATACGAAATGTCCATTCTAAATTACATTGATCACGAAAGATATTCTAATGAAAACAATCGATGACACATATCTATTAATGCATTATTTAACAAAACTAGCATAGCATATTAGCATAGCCCACAGCTAGAGGCAAAATATCTCTCATGATAATAACAAGGTACTCTACATCTAATGGATCATAAGACGCCGAACGAATAAAGCCGGATAGGTGAGCTAAAAGTAGGAAAACCCATTACTGATGCTCTCTATTAAATACACATAATTTCCCTCTACTTTGACTCCACTAATTCGGTATTTATTTTTAAAAGAATCATATTGTTCACTGTGTTTTTCTCTATAGGTGTCACGCAGAAAAGTCCCGTCCACATGCGCTAGTGTTTTACCTCGCGAGAAACTCAACGCTTTGTCATAGGGGCTGAAAGACGTGGTGACACAAGCTTTATACTATTAGACAATGGAAAATGTAATCTACATGTACATTAATAAAGACGTAAATGGCAACTGTTGAATAACAAAGCATTGCAGCAAGCTTAATTACATAAGAGATTAATACTGTAACTATTTCAACAACAAATTGAAATCAAATAATTGGTCACAAAATAAAACAAATAATGGATACAAAAAATACTAGGACAAATTCAGGACTATACATATACGAACGAAATCAACAGTCATGTTCATTGGAATGTCCATATATTTAGTAACAATAAACGGAAAAATAAACGTTATATTTCAACAGTTGGAATGTTTGCCTTATGTTTCGCCCTCTTTAAACATGGTTAATCAAGAAGAGAAAAAATAATCGTGTTTCCATACAACAATGGCTACATATATATGATAGATACCTACCCAAGAACTAAATTTATCGTTAAGGTGAAACGTGTCTTTTCCGAGTTCTGGAAACATTATGTATTACTGAAAGGACAGAAGTAAGGTTTATACTAAACCGAATGATTGTCGTTTCAAAACCGCCTAATATCAATTGATCGTTATTTATAATATAATTATTATCAATATGCTTCAAGAAATTGATAGTGATCAATACAATACAACGTCTATGATGATATATGATATTACATTAATAAATATGTTTTTTTTTTTTTTTTTATAAATTATTGCGAGTCATAGAAACTCCTCCAACACGTTGTCTAGATGAAACACTTTCCCTTACCTAAATCAAAGAAGCTTTTCGCACTTATGAAAATAGAACTGCAATTAGAAAAATAATTATTCAAAATGTAAATAAAATAGTATATCCTGAACTTTCTAACAATTCACATAAAACATATTGCAATGATACCGTACTGTAATGCCTGGAGGTAATTAATTACAACCACTTGAAACAACGATAATGATAATTAGTAAGAACAGGCATTATTCTTTTAGGATTTAACAAGTATGGTTCAAATCATAATTTCTGGTTTGGTTGAAATGATCACTAAACTAGTAATGTTTAATACATATACTTCTCATTGAATATCCTATGTGATTAATACCTTTGTTGAAATTAGATGTTCAAAAAAATTACAATTAAAATATGTTAGTTTACAGTATCCATCATAAAACATGATCTATCTATTGAAAGATACCAATCTGTCTTTATATTTAGATGAACACAACTGACGAGATATCAGAGATTCCTCAAATATTATACTTACATCTGAAAAATATTGCATGCTTGTGTGTGTGTATGCAGGAGACAGGGAATGTTGGTGTACTTGTCTCCTTGTGATAGCGCGAATCTGATGCCGATTTTATAGTGCTAACTCACTAAAATGCCATACTGAAGGCACCAAGTACAGCATTCCGCCCGGTCACATTATACTGACAACAGGTGAACCAGTTGTTGCTATACCCCTTAATGCTGAACGTTAAGCAGGGAATAACAACTACCATTTTAAAGACTTAGGTATGTCCCGGCCTGGGGACAGAACCCATTGCCTTCCTCACCTAGGCAAACGCTCAACATTAAAGCCAAAAGCACGGTGTTGCCAAGCAAGGCGCATGGAAATAGATAAAGATCCCAAATATTGCAATAGGCGCAGAAGATTTATTTTGGTTGCTTTTGTGTCCCCAAATAGAGGACACCAAAGCAAATCCCCAATTCTGCAGGGGCTCCCTCATTAGTTCCCTCCTACGAAACATGCCGTGGGTAACACAGCAAGTGTACTCTTTTCCGATCCCCCACCTGCAGGGGTGTAACAATCTGCAAAAATACAGATGCGTGATACAGTAAAGTTAATAATGTTGATGTGACATTAGCAATTTAGTAAACCAATAGTTACAGAAAAAATCCGCACTGAACGATTTGAGGTAAATTGGAATTTAAAAAGAATACATCCCCAAGAACTTTGTTAGGGGTAAGTCCATGTTTGCATTGTAGAATAACAAAAATCAGCATCTAAAACAATCTTATAATTTCAAATGTTGCCGGTAGCCTGCAGCCGACATCAATGACGCGAATTTGTTAATACATTATACAAAACGACCAATTTTCGAGATAAATATTTCAAACATTTGCCTTCCTAATTCGTTGAAGGATTGTTAAAACGCCGATGTGTCACTTGAGATTTGTCAGTTTGTTAAGTCCAAACTTTTGAAAATATGAACCTAACATTTTATTCAACATTTGATAGTTTGTGGACATTATTGGAAAAATTTCAGAAAATAATCTTTAAACCATGTGGACAGTACATTAAAACCATAAACATCGGCTGCCATTGATAAAGATCATATAAAATAACAAGTAATTTCACATTAAACAAGTTTAAAATGTAAGTATTAACAACAATAGAAAAAGATTGATATACAGGTAATAAATGCACTCCTACAAGCTTATTATATTCATGATTTACTTGCTTATTTCAATTTTTAAAAACGAATCTTAATATATATATATATTAATACAAAAATAATATTTAAATGATTACAAACATCCTGAAATATAAGTAACATGAAAAGCAGTGCTGATTCATACTATACATGCCCTTATTTACATAATAATCAATCCTCTTCGTCACATAATTACCGTGTTAATAAGTCGATACATCTTTTTTTGAGAATGAACTAATATAATGAGGCGCATTGTGATGTAATAAAATGATAATGAAACGACCTTCAGTCTGTCAGATTATAATATGACGTCACAATAGCGCCAATAATTGTTTTTTAATTAAACATGTTCGTTGACCATGTGTTTTAAATAATCTATTGGTAATTTCCATTTTATGAGATTTAGCTCTCGTCCTGTTATCATTATAGCTCACTAGAGGCTTTCTAAAGTAAAGAAAATATAATAAATTCTTCCGACTCGTTTTATACAAATGTTTCGAATGAAAAAGAAACCAGTTCACCAATATAAATCCTTTTTATCATTCTCTTTTTTGAACAATACTGCGATGAAACAGTTTCCATATTCTATTATTCTTTATTCATTTGGCTATATCTTGCATTAACTTTTTACAAAGTCGATGTTTACAAGAGATCTCACTACTTTTATGTTACCTCTCTCTTCTTCACTCTTATCTGTTGGATTGACAGGTTTGTCAACAGTAAAGTGACCTTCGGTAATACTTGATTAAAACGTTTTAGAGATGAATTTAGAGTTTAAATTCAAAGTTAGTTGTCATTTACTACCACTTTACCTAAGAACGATACAGCAGAATGGAAAAAGATTAAAGTTTTGTAGGATATAACACGTGAAGAAAGTCATGATACTATGAATGATTACTCAGAAAATATACATGTACATCTATTTGTATTGATCACATTGAAGGATCAAATATGATACAAATTACTTTTCTTTATACCCCGAAAAGTTATTTCAAATCACTAACTTAAAGAACGTGATTGAATTTGTATTCAATGTCTGTTTATTATAAAGCCAATTCGGACAGTAAATATGACTTTTGGTTGTAATGGTTTCATTTCAAACAGCGCAGCCATCTAATTGTAAAATACATGTGTATACATATTTGAAATGATAATAACCCTTTCTAAAAATATTAAGCCAAGTTATGATTTGAGAATATAAATTTGGTACAAGTTTTGTCTATTCAAAAATGTTTTTTCCTTTCATTTCGGGAGAAAAAGCTTAATAACTTTGATCATAAATACTTTTTTCCAACAATTTCTTGTTCTTATGGATAAGTAATATGAATACCAAAATGACCACGTTATTGTCCTAGATTGAACAACACATGAAACAAAATAATCGACTTTAACAATATTCAGAAAAATATTCATAAAAATATCACAACTTGTTGGAAAAATTGATTTCCTGTATGCTATGTACATATTCGGTAAGTAAATTAAAACATACATCGGTGGATAAATACCGTCAGTACATTAATCAATGGATTTCTACAGAATTATATCTAATAAAATGTACACTCTCCTTGATCTTCAGTTTTCATCGCTTAAAACACACACCTAATCGTCACACCTTAGATTAACCAGTAAGGATATAGCAAACGCTTACCCAAGATGTGTTCATATTTCAGGACTTAGTAACTTGGCTGTGACACTATCTTAATCTATGAGAGCTTAGCTTGTCCTTGTCCTGTCTTCCCTCCAATGCTATACACTCATACCACCCAGACTTTCACACTCGTCGACCTCCTGGTTGATGTCAAGAAGTTGTTGGAACTGTTTGGTCATGTAGCGTCTGTTGATGTCATGGATCTCATCTCTTAGCTGTGTGCTCTGTACATCCTCCTCGCCTAGTTGACTGGGAGGGTGAGGCTGGAAGGAATAGTTGTCGCCTTCAACCTCCAAGTAAGCGGGAAGGTCCTCATGTAGTGACTCTGGTGGGGACCACATCTCCTCTTGTTCTGTTCTTTTCTTCGGAAGCATTTGCCTCTGAGGACCTTGATTTAATTGCATATCTACATATTCATATGCTTGCGGCGTTGTTGGGGATTCTGGCGATAACTGATTGGAATTTGTTTCACCTTGGATAGCATAGTCATAATTACCGTTTGAGAAAACTGTGTTTTCATAGGAATATCCATTGCTGTTGAAATCTACACCATTGTGGGTGCCGATTGGGCGAGTTTCTTCCTCTCCAATGCCAGAATCAAACTTTTCCCCGCTGGTGTTTATTTCGATGCTATGCATGCTCTCATATTCAGCAGCTTCATTAATTGCATCGATTAGGTTCATGCCTGGATGCCTCAATCTGATACTGACGCGTACAGGCAGCTTTAAATCTTCCAGTCTATTCTGTGTGTGACTAAGGCCATGCAAGTGACATAGAAACTCATCCAGGTGAGTAGGGATCTTGTACTGATTACCACGAAACAATTCCTTGATGACAAACTTGTCAGCAGTATAGGGAAACTGTATGGAGAGAAATTTGTTGACACCCTTGCCTCTACTCATACGATCTGTAATTTGCTGGAGTGCAGGTACAAATATATCTCCTGCCTTGGTCAGAGGCTGGTAACACAGTTCACCATTATTCTTTGTCCACGACTTATACTGAAGATATGCTGCTGAAGAGTGCACCACCAGAATGAAGTCGGCCATGTCCATTGAGCGTATGATCCACTGGAGCTTGTCATCGATTTTCGAATCAGGGGCAAAGGTCACGTTGCACAGACATTCCTTCTCAAGGAAATTAGAGAAAGCTTTCAGTACGCCTAGGTGCTTCGGGTGGTCCTCGGTGTTCACCAGAAACACATTTTGTCTCTTCAACAGGCCTGGACCTGAGTGTAAATAACACGCTTGTTGTGAGACATAAGACATATCTGACAGGCACCATGTTCATATACCATCAATTTCCACAACAGATAATCTGAAACTCACTTACCGATAAAACATTTCTATATAATCAGTATTTTGGTATATTTAAAAATCTGGTTACTTAAAAACTTTGTCTCTTATTCAAAAGGGTCTAGATTTAGGAGCATGGAGACCAAACTGTAACGATACAGAGAAAAAAATATGAAGATAAATTTATTGTAGTAACGAAAAAATAACCCGTTTAAAATTATTACAAAATTGGCAAATGACATAATTACCCGTTGGTGCAGGTTTCTTATTGTTGACGTAGTTCTGATTGACTTGACCTTGGTATTTGTCGAGTTCTTTCACATATTTCCCTGGTCCAGGATCTTGTTTTCCTCCCTGTTTCCCTGTATAACCGGACTTTCAATATGTATCTTATGCTTACAAATTCATACAATAAAGCAAATAGATAAACTCTCTTGCCATTATATCATGCATACACTTTTATATATGTAATGAAAAGTTCTCAAGTCGTCATACTACTTAGTGATCCCAATATTTAGTACGTATGTTTTGAATTGAGCAATATAAAAAAATCTACTGGTATTTTAATATGAAATACAACTTTGTTACAAAACACCCAAGGCTACGCCATTATTTAAGAACATTTCTCGTGTTGTTCTGTTTATCCAAAAATAGCTTTGCTAGTTAATCCAAAATACACATACACATAAATATATATAGAAAAAATAAAATTAACGACCGACTAAAAAACTAGCTGCTTTCACCCTTCACAGGGCTCTACAGGTTTATTCAACAGAACAACTTTGTGACGTCACAATTACATGTCATCACACTACAATAGTAACGTGACGTCACGAAGTACACAAGATTGGTGGACAATTTAGCGTAAAATTTTACTGTGGCCTATTGAGACTTGGTTTTAATATTTTGATTAGTTGGTCTTCTTTCGTTTCTTAGTCGGTCGTTAATCTTATTTTTTCTCTATTTACTTCCTTCACATGGACATTTAATCCCTTTTTATTATATATATATATGTATCACCAACACTCAGAAATAGGAAAACATAATATTACGCCCTTGGTTCAAAAGTTTTATAGATATTTTCTTAATGGAGGATAATCTAATTATGACTGTAAATAATCATAGCATTTAGTAGAAAATATAAAAATGTTACCTACTTCGGTAAATGATGAGAAATAGGATGATGATAACTATCAGTATGACTCCAAGAAAGGAGCCTAGCACGGCCCCTACGATCTTGCCGGTCGGGTCTGTGGTTACCTCTGGAATGACAACACAGCATGATAAACATTGTAGACAAACAGAAGTAACTAACACAATCAGTCACGTCCAAGCATCTGGCAACCTTCCAGTTACTAAAGCTTGCACGATGTCATAATCAAACGAATGTGTGAACGTCAGCAATGAATCATGATGCATCAATGACAATGAGTTTTTGTGTTATTTTCCCTGTTGCTTCAACAATATTTCTATCCGTTCAAAACCGAACAGAAATGTCATATTTCTTCAGGAATATAAGCTATATTTCACCTTGTGGAATGAACATTATATTTTTGAACTTGTTCTCCGTAAATCTCGAACAATGTCAAAGTAAACATTTCTCGTTATAAACCCTTATATCCAACATACATTCCAACATTATTCACAAAAGATAAATCTGTAAAAAAAAAACACATCAAGGCACTTATTGAGATTTTAAACTAAAGTTTGGAAACATTGACAGTTCTAATTGGTCTATTCTTTGTAGAATTGAGAACTTAATTTATAACCATCAGTTGTTTAGTACACAGACAACAGTGCCGATCCCTGGGACCACGATGGCATCAGTGAGGCTCTTTACATGGAAATCAACATTTAACTGTATACATTGCGATACATCAATATAACTGAGAGGGACAATTATAGGGGATTAGAAAACACACGACGTTTACACCGTATAAGTGTTTCGTAAATGTGAGAAATCCATGTGATGTTCAGAATTACGTCACTTATAAAAGACAAAAATATGTTACGACATTGGCTAATCAGCACATGCTCAACCAAAAGGTCATTGAAGGTCATAGGACAGAAGGTCATGGAAATGCACTGTATAATATATAAGAATAAGTAGAAGAAAAAATTAGAGAAAAAGACAAATATCTCATCTGTTGCATTCGATTCAGTAGGTCCGGTTTAGTCTTTTTGATGGGCAGAGAATACATAAAGCTATTTCAGACTCTGTAGTGGTTCCTGCATTAGTCATCTTGCGATAGCATGTAGTGGGATAGCGCAAGGCTACTCTTTACTTTAACCTGCACATTTGTCAATTGAACATTTCTTCCTTTAAAACCAATATACATCAGTCATAGTTGAATATGAATTTCCCGAAACTTTATTTTCGATATGGTTTTGAAAAACTTCAAATAAATCCCGTTCTTACGTAACTGCTGAAAACTGTGGTAAAATATTCTGAATCAAAGCAGTCCCATACAAATAATAGAGTTGCTGTCTTCAAACAAACATCCCATTAAACCAACAACAACATCGTCTAACAGTTTCGATAGTCGTGCATGGTGACTGACCCTCTGACTCTATGTGGATAGAACACAGATAACAGTAAATATGTGAACATCGCGATAGGTTTACCAGGTATTAATAGCGTATGCTATTTTTAATGTTGCAGACAATCAGTAAATATATTATAGATATAAAAGCCTAAGGGTAGTTTGGGGGACGTTCAAACGTGTGCATATCTAGGTCCTTATGTATATCTAAATGTAATATTTTTGAATCTCGCATACTTGAAAATATATGAACTTCTGTGAATCGATTGATCTAATAACCATTATCAGTGACGTTCTGCTTGCAAAATCGATCTCCAATTAATCAATTAAACAGCAAGCTGATCGCAAGTACAACAAATGAGGCAGTGGGATTGAATAATTGACAGATCTACCAATCAACCATTAATCAAACCATGCTTTACCGATACTGTTTCTGTCACCACTGGTTGTAACACTTGATTTAGAAATCGATTACATGATATACTACGGACGGATTAGGGACATGATACCATCGTATATAATCAGAGGCACATTGAGTCACTTGGAAAACTTCATAAAACTTCTTCTAAAAATTCATACGGGCTAGTAAAGTAACGGTATTTTGCTTGTTGCCTACGGGAAGGTCAGATTGTATCAAGATTATTCAGATCAATAACGTAGAGCCATTTTTATGCTTACAGTGGTCAAATGTATGAAAATCGTCAAATGATTACATCAATAATGCTAACAAAAAGAACCGTATAGCGGGTTATTTACGCAGGCTTTTAACTTTTCGCAATTTGACCCAAAATCAGAAAGTTAAATTTACACTGATTATAATTTCGCGAGCTAGCTATATATAGACATGTGAAGAATACAAAATTTCGTGGTGCATTTGCACAAAAACGGGACACTCGGCATATGAATTGGCTTCATTACAACATCTTGATCCACAACAAGTAAGTGTATTTTTTTAAATGAATGATACAATCTATTTTCAAACAAAACCGATAAGGTGTCAAGTAATGATGTTTAGCATGTAGTGCTAGCTATTCAAACCTTGAATCACTTTACATGTCACAGATTTGACATACGTCTGCTCAAATGGATACTTGTAACATGCATAGTAAAGGGGCTTAAACGACATACATGCTATAGGTACCAAAATCAAGAACAAAGAAGTTGTTGGAGAATCAGGATAATTTCTTATGTAATCTCAAGGAACAGATCATGGATCGGCTGGATAAGCTCCTTGATGAAAAAATATTTCGTAAGTGTATCTGTGCTTTTGTCATTGGGCAACACTTATAACTATCATATGTGCATATGTATGTATAGTATTGGTCCTTACCGGACAACACATGCTGTTGTCATTGACCTACACCCACAACACATGCTGACGTCATGTTGTATACTTGTGATATCATTGCTGACACTACGTACAGCAGGGTGCTCATAACTTCATTGTTCGTGATATGATAATAGTGTGTCCAAGCTGAAGAATGTATTAACTTCAGCCATCTTTACTAAGTTTATCAAGACCGTCCTGATTCAAGAAAACTCTGCAGCGCATCCTTAAACTTAAGTTAAACCTTTTTTCTATGTCTCCTTAGCATTTGCATCCAAAACACAATACTCCGTGCATGATATGTCCAGTGTATGTGACCTATCTTACGAACAAATTTATCATGTATCGTTGAGTATTGATATAGTTTATACATTTTTGCTGATTCTGGTGACGCATTAAAATTAGGGTTAAATTTGTATCAAAAGACTCATCACCGATACTACCTTTACAATAAGCTTTGACATCTTATTCCTTAATTATACCATTCCATGACGCTTACATTTTAGCAGTTATCAACAGGTACGATTCATTAAATAGATGTTACTCTTGAATAAATGGAACAACATGTATCAATGGTAAGCTAAAACCCTAAAAAAGCTAAATACGTAACAGAAGTTTTTGATGATTCCTTGGTTCAGCAATATTTTAGGGCGTGATATGCCGTTCTGAAAACTTTTGCTTAAAATGCTTTTTGTATGCCACAAGAGTGTAATTATGCATCGATATACAGAAAACGGCTCATAGTTGTATTTCATTGTTAGGTAATAAAACAGTTTGATAGATAATCCAAGCCGGTGTTCCATGATGGTACAATAGAAGACCAGTTTGAGAAATATTGCTGATGTACATGTAAGGTCATCGCTTCAGGGGCATCAGTTGAGTGTTTTCGACTAGACTAATGTTTGCGTAAGGTTTACCTATCGATCCTTCCATTTTCTTCTGCTGACAATGTCATATTTAAACAGATAATATTATATTGATAGTAGAAAGGTAAAACAATATTTAATATAAATGCGTTGAACAGTAAGGAAATGTCCCTAATTCCATATTAAATATTTTGAAAGGTCTCGTCGTGTAGATTCGGCTGTGATTCAGGGTTATCGCCAGTTTCTATAATCGTAAGCTAAAAATATGTCTAAATATCTTAATTAGGTATTGTTAAGTTGGTTGTAATGTGACGTAACAGTTCAGTTTATTGGCTTGAGATGCATGGTAAAATAAGTTCAAAACTAAATAAATAAAGCTACACTCTGATATAAAAAGAAAATTTTAAAATACATTTTTTGTCAGGAAATGCTTTTAACATTTCAACAAAAGCTATATTTTGCAACACAGTAAAACCTCGCTATACTTACACCGTGACTTTTCTCGGCAAACTTTTCGTATTGTAAATGGGCTTAGCTATAAATATATTGAGAGATCTGAACGAATTGTAATGATAAAGCAATGGGACACTGTAATGGACAATGTTGGCGGTAAGCGAGATGACATATGAAACGAGGAGCATGATATTGAGGTTTTACTGTTGTCAGCCACCATGGATAGTAAAGTCACCCAGATGTTTCACATGCGATACTTTAAATCAAAAAGAAAAAGGAAATAAAAAAATGAGTAGCAGAAAGGCTTTATTGAGGAGATACAACTACAGAAAAATAGCATCACTACTAGGATATTATGGGAGCGCTAGGAAAAGAGGGAATGCTGCCAGATAATGATTTACCATCGGTGGACGAACCTACAAAAAATATAACACGGAAGCATTACGATCATGCTGTGATGTGAGTTTATATCTTCTCCTGAAATCACGTTATCAATATAACTACATACATCCTTCACCAGTAGCCACACCCATGCAAATAGGACGATCCAATTTAAAAATAAATTATATCTCATTATCTGAAGGGATCAGAATATTCTTTTGGGACAGAATCTGTGAGTAAGAAATAGCAACATTTCAAAGTTAGCTGCAGGGAATTTCTGTATTTGAATTGCGCTATCATTGTGTGGTAAGCAATCACGATAACTGTTGTAGACTAAACTATATGTACTGAATGCTGTATGATAAATACCATCAGTCTTCGATGATTTGCCTTCACTTGATGTGGTTCAATGTCATTTCAATTTACTTATTAAAAGTATAAGAAACTTGATTGGGTGCAAAAGTTACATATATTTCAATCAATTAAGCTTTTGTCTGCTGGAGCATTTCCAAGTACTAGTACTTTTTACAATACCTTCTTCGGTAGCAAATTTTAATTATAATCATAACCAACGTTTGAAGGTTTTCGAATAATTCTGATTACTTTCTCCACAACTCTGTGTGGTGTCTGATCTTTGTCATATTCTTTCGAAATATGGTTGCATAGATTTTTCTTTTTCCATTTAAAAACATTCAACCCAGATACTGATAACTAACATAACACATTATATTTAATTTTATGCGTTACAAAATATTTGCAACAAGGCAACCATATAATGAAAGGGTATGTAAACAGTACAGATATAAGTTTATGCATGTAGCAAAACAATTAAGTGCATTATGTTTCTTGTCGTTTGTCAGGAAAAAACATAATATTAAGTCAAATATAACATTACAGAAAGAGTTATATATCTTTTCTGATATTGTTCAGCAGTCTATGCTACAGGCCCAATATCAGTACCCTGGGCCTTTTGGTTATTGAGAAGAAGTTGTTTGAAGATTTTAACATATTTGACCCCTGTGACATTGAAAGTGGGTCAAGGTCATTCATTTGAACACATTTGGTAGCCCTTCATCCCAGCATGCTACTGGCCAAATAGCATCAGCCTGGTCATCTTGGTTATTGAGAAGAAGTTGTTTAAAGTAAAAAGTTGACGCCAAACGGACTTTCAACGGAGAGAACAGATTTGGCAATTAACAATGAGTTCCCTCCCATACCAAAACAAAGACATTTATTTCAGTTTGGTTTGGTTTATAGGGTTTAAATTTCTATCAACATCTAAGGTCATTTAGGGATGTGTTGTATACGCGTGCATGTGTGTTATTCTTTCAGAAACATTTTTGAAGACACAAATAACAACAGGTGGCATATGTTGTATTAGTAATCATTCCATAATCATATGGTCATGAAAGATCCAGACAAATTTACATTGCAGTTTAAGCTGTCAATTTAATACTTTCAAAAAATTAAAAACAAGAATTTGCTCTATGCTGAAATAACATGATCCATTATATATACCATTGTACATTGTATTACTGAACATTTTTTGAAATATATTCATTCTGATAATAACAAGAGGCCCAATGGGCCTGCATCGCTCACCTGGTATTAATCTCACACTTGTAATCTTAAAAGTGGACCAAAATACAGCTACAGGCAGAATATCAGTGTGACCTTGGATGTCAAACAATGACATTAGGTTGAAAGTGGGTCAAGGTCATTCATTTGAACAAATTTGGTAGCCCTGATTGCTACAGGCCAAATATCAGTACCCTGGGCCTTTTGGTTATTGAGAAGAAGTTGTTTGAAGATTTTAAGACATATGACACCTGTGACCATGAAAGTTGTTCAAGGTCATTCATTTGAACAAACTTGGTAGCCCTTCATCCCAGCATGCTACTGGCAAAATATCATCACCCTGGGCATTTTGGTTATTCAGAAGAAGTTGTTTAAAGGTTTTAACATATTTGACTTCTGTGACCTTGAAAATGGATGAAGGTCATTTATTTGAACACACTTGGTAGCCCTTCATCCCAGCATGCTACTGGCAAAATATCATCACCCTGGGCATTTTGGTTATTCAGAAGAAGTTGTTTAAAGGTTTTAAACATATTTGACTTCTGTGCCTTGAAAGTTGTTCAAGGTCATTCATTTGAACAAACTTGGTAGCCCTTCATCCCAGCATGCTACAGGCTAAATATCATCACCCTAGGCCTCTTGGTTATTCAGAAGAAGTTGTTGAAAGGTTTTAAACATATTTGACCCATGTGACCTTGAATATAGGTAAAGGTCATTCATTTCAACAAAAATTGGTAGCCCTTCATCCCAGCATGCTACTGGCCAAACATCATCACCCTGGGCCTTTTGGTTATTGAGAAGAAGTTGTTTGAAGATTTTAAGACATTTGACACCTGTGACCTTGAAAGTTGTTCAAGGTCAGTCATTTCAACAAACTTGGTAGCCCTTCATCCCAGCATGCTACTGGCCAAATATCATCACCCTGGGCATTTTGGTTATTCAGAAGAAGTTGTTTAAAGGTTTTAAACATATTTGACTTATGTGACCTTGAAAATGGATGAAGGTCATTTATTTGAACAAACTTGGTAGCCTTTCATCCTGGCATTTTACTGGCTAAATATCATTATCCTAGGCTTCTTAGTTATTCAGAAGAGGTTTTTAAAAGATGTTTAACATAATTGACCCCTGCGACCTTGAAAATAGATAAAGGTCATTTGTTTGAACAAACTTGGTAGCCCTTTATCCCAGCATATTACTGGCCAAATATCATTATCCTAGGCTTCTTGGTTATTCAGAAGAAGTTGTTTAAAGGTTTTAAACATATTTGACCTGTGTGACCTTGAAAATAAGTAAAGGTCATTCATTTGAACAAACTTGGTAGCCCTTCATCCTGGCATGTTACTGGCCAAATTTCATTATCTTAGGCTTCTTGGTTATTCAGAAGAAGTTGTTTAAAGGTTTTAAACATATTTGACCTGTGCGACCTTGAAAATGGGTGAAGGTCATTTATTTGAACAAACTTGGTAGCCCTCTATTACAGCATGCTACTGGTCAAATAGCATCATCCTAGGCCTCTTGATTATTGAGATGAAATTGTTTAAAGGTTTTAAACATATTAGACACCTGTGACCTTGAATATAGGTTAAGGTCATTTTAACAAAACTTAGTAGCCCTATATCCTAGCATGTTACTGCCTAAATATCATTATCCTAGGCCTTTAAGTTATTCAGAAGAAGTTGTTTAAAAGACTTTTAAGACAATTGACTCCTGTGACCTTGAAAATGGGTGAAGGTCATTTATTTGAACAAACTTGGTAGCCCTTCATCCTGGCATGTTACTGGCCAAATATCATTATCCTAGGCCACTTGGTTATTCAGAAGAAGTTGTTTAAAGATTTCTAACATATTTAACCCCTGTGACCTTGAAAATGGGTGAAGGTCATTTATTTGAACGAACTTGGTAGCCCTCTATTACAGCGTACTACTGGTCAAATAGCATCATCCTAGGCCTCTCTGTTATTAAGAAGAAGTCGTTTAAAGTAAAATATTGATGCCGGACGACGGACGCCGCACCACGGCATAAGCTCACTTGGCACTTCGTGCCAGGTGAGCTAATAAGTCAAGGTAATTTATTTGAACAAACTGGGTAGCCCTTCATCCCAGCATGCTTCTGACCAAATATCATCACCCTAGGCCTTTTGGTTACTGAGATGAAGTAAAATGTTGGCGATGGACGGACGACGGTGAGCTAAAAATGACAAACCCAGGGCGTACCAAACGGGTTTTCAATGTGTAAGCCCAATGATCAAATGTCCCGAAGCGCGCAGCACGAGGCGGGGGGAGTGTATTGGAGGTTTTTTTCCCCCTTCCCATTGGTGGGGGTCTGGAGTCTCTCCCCCAGGAGAATTTTGTTTTCTAGAACGCCGGAGACGCATTCTCCAGTGTTCTGGCGTCAGTTTCATATGGCCCTTTTTAAAGCAAGAAAATATAATTTTCCCCTATTATTTTACAAATATTTTGTGTTTTAGTATTTTATATAATATAGTCTATTAGTCAAAAATGATGTGTAAGCCCGAGCCTTTTTGCTACATAGGTTGTTACGCCCCTGAAACCCATGTCCAAAAGGTAAAAGCCTCCTAATGATTGTGACTTAAATGTACAGGATTTCCTTCTGTATATTAAGTGCTATAACAACACTTACTTATGGCAGAGGGTTCCCGTGTAGAGGGGGTAGGTCCAGGTGTAGAGGGGGTAGGTCCAGGTGTTGTGGGGGAAGGTTCATGTATGTAGATTGCAGCTGTAATAGTTCTAGTACAAGTGGCACAATTATTTCTATTGTCCTTGCAAAGACACTTCCTTGAATCCTGGAAATATGGATCTTCGGGTACTATCTACAATGAAAGGGAAGAAAATAAGCTATTTCATTAAAAATAGGTTCCTACTGAGTTTTAGCATTATTCCATTAATGGAATAAAATGTGAAAAAAACCTCAAAGCATTATAGTTATTTTTCCTGCAATATTAGAGTCATGTGAGCTAAAAAAAAAGATAGAATCAGCATGAACCCGTTATCAAAATTGTTCAAGTCCTTCATGTTGAAGCTTACCTTAAGACGATACCATCCAGGTAACAAATCTTTGAACTCCCCATCAAACTAAAACAGATGATAAAAATCCTTAAAATAAAAGACTATCTGTGACTATTTTGAAATACTGAATGATTGTTCACATGCAATGGTATAACAGTGATACAAATTGTCTTAATAATAATTAATGGAGGTTCTTATATACCGCTTTATTACAACCGAGTTTGTAGGTTGTCTCGAAGCGGTTCACAAATTATTATCAGTGGTAATAGGGCCTTTGCAAACAGCCAACATATTTCTCAACTCCCTGGAGAGCATACAGCCGGTGCTGCCATTTCGGCGCTCACAGCTAGCATTCAACAATTCTAGCATGTAACCCAACCACATACTCATTTACAGCTGAGTAGACTGAATCATGCAGAGAAAAGTATCTTACTCAAAGATACAACACAGTACCGTGCCGTGGATCGAACCCGCAACCCTTCGGTCACGAGCCCGACGTCCTACCACTAGATTACCGTGCCTCCTAACACCGTGTCCTTCACCAGTTCGACTTGTTAGTTCTTATATCTTATGAGATCATACAGACAAGAGACCTTTATAACATATATTTTTATGTAGGATAGAATTGTAGAGATATTTACTGTTTCTAAAAGATATTGGAGATTTATTACATTACTATGAAATATTTCTCTTGTTCGTCGAAGGTCAAACTGGTGAACTAGTGAAACTAGTAAACTAAGAATGTCATTAATACTGTGAAAATCTTTTCAGTGGCATCAAATATAGAGTTAAAGTGTTCGCATAAATATAGAAAGTCTTGTGATACTTACAACAGTTATAACTTGTTTTTCGACTAGGGGTCCAGAAGTTTCCTTATCATCAGGTACTTTATACAGACTTACATCAAAACGCTCAAAATTGAATCGTAGAGGAGAGCTATTGAACGAGAAGTAGATATCCCGAGAAAAGTTTCGATAAATTATTACTGTTGTCCATTCTGCTGATGATGGAGATGTTGCATCTGTAATACAAAGTGCACAGTCATTAGTAGAATTTTCAAGAAGTAGGAATGTAAAATAGATGCAAAATAGGCCTGTATTTCTCAACTGTTATTCAAAACCGTTCCCACTACATCTAACAGTGTAACTTTCAAAGAGGGTTTAGGTCAAACTTAGCACAAACTTGTTTACAAGCAAGCTCACATAAGCTTAGGCTTCACAGCATTACTGTACAACTAACCAATTGTTCTTGGAAGATTTCAATGTATTTATCATAAGGCCTTTGAAGTTGGTCAAGGACATACATTTGAACCAATGAATATTCCTTCCCACAAAGTTTTGCTTAATCTTTCTACTACAGACAATAATTGAATAAAAGGGGTGTTAGAAAAAGTTCTTTACAATATCAGAATCTAAATCACTATATGGTTAAAACATTTTGATAATTATTCACATATATTGTCCACTCACTGTACTATCAAAAGTGTCAAGTGATCAGGGTAACAGAAATCCACATTTTTTGGTGTCTCCTTTATTAGAATTAAATGACTTAATATCAAAGTAAAATGTGAGAAAAAGAAAAAGAAAAAGACGGAAAGGTTTAATAACGATGAAGGTACAAATATATTTGAAATATGAAAAATATAAACTGCGACACATTTATATACATGTTCAAAATTAGCATCTGTTATGGTCAGGAAGTTGTGAATATATTGTTCTGTTTAAGAAACATTTGATAAAGTTAATATAATGACCAGACAATTTAGATTTTCTTGCCCTAATCAGCCCTTAGGACCTTCAAAATCTTTCTGGTTCTGATTTTGAGCCATTCTAACTGAAAAGGTGTACTATGATATCAAACTATAGTCATGTGATATATAACTATGAGTACTTACTGAATGGTGGACCTGTATGGATCAATGCAGAAAGAGACATATCTAATGTATCATACTGGGTCGCAGGCTTGGGTAAACTGTAGGCCCTAAGTAGGTAATCCCTTCTACTTGAGACAGGACCAACTTTTTCTGCTCTGAAAGTAACCTGTGAAGATATACAGAGATTTCTGTTATAATGACTAAATATATCAATTACAAAATATTGATCAATTTCAAATTTTGTTTAGGTTATCTGGTAATAATATGTTACAAATGAACTTGGGCAAAATTTGGGTTTGGGCCTCCTAGCAGGAATAGTGTACCTGATGTTTGGTTGGCACCCAAGACTTGGTGTAGATGCATTTTTAGGCATCGATACCAGTTCTGAGGCTTTAGGGAGCCAACAGAATTACGCCCAGAAGCTTAAGCCTTGGGTAGACTTTGCATACAAAGCTACCTCGGCTGAAAGAGGGAGGAAGGGTAAGCGGTATAAGGATAGGTATGATAGGGGGGGGGTTAGAGAAGCCACCTTAGAGGTTGGTGACCAGGTTCTGATGAGGAACGTTGGTATACGTGGCAAACAAAAATTGGCTGACAAATGGACTAAGGAACCCTACATTGTCCTTGGTGTGCTAAATATTGACATGCCTGTATCCAAGATCCGGAAGGAACGTCCTCCTCCCTTTCATGTGGCTACCAAGATAAGAAGGTGCTCATGAACCAAGGGAGACAACCCAAAATCATCAGAATGCCAAGATAGACTCAGTTGAGAGTTTCTCCTCAACTACCGACTCTGACAGCTCAGATGAGGATGGGAGTCAAACACCCAGGTATGTTATTCCTGCTAGGAGGCCCAAACGCACTGGTGCTGAGTCGCGAAAGCCAGTGCAACTAAACACTTTTGGTGCAGGGGAATCTCTGAGGAGGGGGAATAAGGGTGTTTGTGGAAAATCCAACACTGCGGGCAGTGTAGGTCATACACAAAGACTCCACAGCAGCTGTAAGGCCCAGACAGGCCTGTAAACCTCCTAATTGATATGGAGAATGGCTCATGGGGACCTTGGTGTCGTCCGATTCTACAGCTGAGGTCTTTGTATAGCAATTAAGTCGGAGCAGTGGGAGAATGTCATAGGGAACAAAGCCTACTCCTGATTTTGAAACTATTGGTCAAACTCTACAGCTACTAGTGGGTAAAATTACCTTTGGGTTTACCATCAAATTATGTAGTTATGTAACTCACATTCAATTATTATTTAAAAAAGATTGATATTCATATCAGGAATGCATTGTTTCCACTGGCAGTGGGGAGATTCTTTTAAGTGTATAGTGTACATGGTTATGTTACTTTGGGATACTGGCCAAGGTGGCGAGACGGATATTTTACTTAATTTAAGCTTTATTGGTTGTAATTTGCTGTTTATAGTTTAATTAATGCCAGGCGTCATTTCCCTTTACAGGGGAGAATGTCAAGGTGGCCAGACTTATTAACAGTTTGCCCAGTAATTTAGTATTTAAAATTATGTATTTTAAATACGATGTAAATTGAGTACATGTTAATACTTGCGCTGTGTATCGTGTGTCATGGTATATATGTCTGTGTCAGGTAATGTACCTGTGTTATCAGTGTGACGTATGAGAGGTTGGTGCAAGTATTGGCTGAGAGTGACACTTTGACCCAGAATGACCCTGTCCATGCACGTGAAAAGCACATGAAAAGCCTTACCTGGGCTTAGATTAGTTGCATGTGAACTGCCTGTGTGCGTTACCACCACGGTGCAAGGTAAGTCTTACATTTAATTTAAAATAATATAAAACAAACTGTTACTTCAATTATTGAATAAAGTACTTTGGTTTTATAATCTGTTGCATTTGAATTATATTGCCGTAAAATATCTGAGGCTATAAGTTAAATTAGGGTACACGTGGTCAGGTTTTATAACATCATGTCATAGGGTTAAAATAATTAGGGTGTAATTATGTAATGTAAGTTTCTGAAATAAAATATAATAATATAATATTAATTTACAAGTAATGTCTAAATATTAAATACTTTATGGTATTAATATATGTGGATACGGTTATACGTTTACACTTGTCTGTATATGTGCACTCAGACATTGTATTTTGTGAGCTTATCCCATGCCGCAGCTTCCGTTGTCTGTCCGTCGGTTGTCCATCGTCCGTCAACTTTTTTCCTTTAAAACGCTACTAGTCCTGAACGGCTCAGAGGAGGCCTCCAAGAAAGCTGGGTCCACGTCCCGAGGCTGGGTACGTTGGTGCTCAGTGCGTATGTGATCATTTCGGGGGTATGATTGTGGCGCGCTGGGCGTCATCGTAGCAGAAGGCTTTCACAGTAGCTCCAATTTGAGCCAACCTGTTTGCCGTGGGTTGCATCTCGTATTCCTGGGGGAAGAAGATCCTGGTAGCTGAGCAGAGTCGGAATCACTGTCAAACTCTTGATAGGAAGGAGACATGATCCGATATTCTGCAACATACTGCTTTGGCTTCGGACTCTGGGTAGACGAGAGGTGATATGGGCCCTCTATCACCAATCGGCTGGTCACGCCGAGCCCTTGGTTTACATACTCCCAAGAAGGCGGTGGCTCAGGGTCAATCGCGAGAGTATACTCTTTCAAATAGTATGTATATTCTTACGAGTATACTATTCTATGTATCTCCGACACTTGGCGCTGGATATCCGCGTCACACCAGTGTCCCCTTGTTGGGCTCCGTGGCGGGTGGAGGCATAGATCGTGAAACAAACAAATATACACATGGGTAAAGATAAAAACCACCAAAACGACGGACATA